CCCCCACAGCAATGAAATCTTTACTGATAGCGACTAACCCAAAGTAACTCCTGTTTAAGTGCAATTAAACTGAGGTCTTCCATATAACAAAGGTGACTTGAAAAAAATTAAAGAGTTTTAAGATCAAAAGTCTTGTTTAAAAAAAGAATTCGGTGTTTTTTTCCTTTTTTGTAAAACATAACATATCTAATTCCGGTGGAAAATATAGTAAAACAAAAATATTAAGAACAACCTTTAAGTCAGTGCCAGGCCAATATTTCGGATATGATTCCAATATTTTCAATACTAATTATATAATTATGTCTTTTCTCTTCATCCATCACCTTATCTGTATTTCCCTCTCATAATGATGGGAACTAGCCAGCTAGAACATTTGACTTACTTGACAAATCTTTGATTGTTCATGCATTTCCAAACCTTAGAACTTTATTATTACTGGTGTTATGTATTTAAATGAATGCAGCCTGTATCAAAAAAAAGAAAATGACCATATTGAAGGGAAAAAAAGAATAAACTGCTGCCTTCTTCAAGAGTAACACTTAAAACCATTAAATGCATTAAAATCCCATTTAACAAATAGCAAAATCTAACAAACATTGGGATGGCTCAGTGAATACTAATGTGGAATATTGTCGGGAAAGACATTTGAGTGTTGAAATTTCTCAAAATGGTTACATAGATTATGGAGGGGAACATCTATTATTTCAAAAGACAAATTAAAATTGACAGTTCATTGAAAATATTTTTGTTTTTGTTCTGTTACATTTTAAATTGTTTCTTAAAGTAGTTAATTACTCATTTTCTATTTTAAAAATTCAGTATTCTTTATGTTTTGCTTATTAATTTTATATTGAAAATCCTAGGACTCTATCTATATACAACTGACCAGACTGCTGCTTAGTAAATTGTGGTAGTCTTTTGTATGATAATCAACTAATATAGTCATCATAAAATCATCTAATTCTTAAAGTGATCAAAAATATGTTTGTCATATGATAGTCCATTAATTGCAGGCAATTAAATGTCACAATCAATTCATATAAGTTCTGGCCTCAAGTCATATGCTAAGTCTTCAATTTATTTTCTTTATTAGCTCAAGTAACTTTTCTTCTACTTATCTGATTTTATTCATCTGAAATGTGGCTACTAAGCTTTAGTGTATCATTTGTTATGGAGTATGTTACACATTGTTGGTAATATAACTGCATTCCATTTATCTATCCATTTACTTATTCACTTATGTATGTATGTAGTCTTGTATCCATCCATTTATCCATCTACCTATCCACTATCCATCTGTCCTTCTATACATCCATAGATCCATCCATCCAAGAAAAGTGATTGGGCACGTATTGAGGTGATAGGGCTAGGTATATAGACACACAATAGAATCTTTGTTCTTAAAGAGTTGCTCCTAAGCTCATGGCAACATAAGCAAGGACTATCCTTACTGTAGTAACTCTTCCAAGCCTTATGCTGTGTTAAGAATTACCAGGTCTAAGGGGGGGAGGGTATAGCTCAAGTGGTAGCATGCATGCTAGCATGCACAAGGTCATGGGTTCAATTCCCATTAACTCCTCCAAAAAATAAATAACTAAACCTAATTACCTCCCCCCC